GATTTTTGTATAAGAAAATATATATTGTATATAGTTTTAAATCGGAGAGCTCTAGATTCAGTTTATTGCTCCTGAAAACTTTATAAAAGTTATGGAAATTTGTTGCACATGTTGTATGGTATTTGTCGAGAAAAAGAAGCCTCTCACGTCTCCTTAGCCGAGAATTAGGCTGTCCTCGCGGTCACCCATTTAGTTATTAGCCTGACTGAACGCTCACATTATCTCCAGCGGTTTTTTGTAACTAAGTGGTGTGTGTGTGTGTGTGTTCACCTAGTTGTGTTTGCGGGGGTTGAGCTTTGCTCTTTCGGCCCGCCTCTCAACTGTTAATCAACTGTTTACTAACTACTACTACTGTGTGTGTGTGTGTGTGTGTATGTATGTATGTATGTGTGTGTGTGTGTGTGTGTGTGTGTGTGTGTGTGTGTGTGTGTGTGTGTGTGTGTGTGTGTGTGTGTGTGTACTCACCTATTTGTGCTTGCAGGATCGAGCATTGACTCTTGGATCCCGCCTTTCGAGCATCGGTTGTTTACAGCAATGACTCCTGTCCCATTTCCCTATCATACCTGGTTTTAAAATTATGAATAGTATTTGCTTCCACAACCTGTTCCTTAAGTGCATTCCATTTTCCCACTACTCTCACGCTAAAAGAAAACTTCCTAACATCTCTGTGACTCAGATGAGTTTCTAGCTTCCATCCATGTCCTCTCGTTCTGTTACTATTCCGTGTGAACATTTCGTCTATGTCCACTCTGTCAATCCCTCTGAGTATTTTATACGTTTCTATCATGTCCCCCCTCTCCCTTCTTCTTTCTAGTGTCGTAAGGCACAGTTCCCTCACGCGCTCCTCATACCCCATCCCTCGTAGCTCTGGGACGAGTCTCGTTGCAAACCTCTGAACCTTTTCCAGTTTCTTTATATGCTTCTTCAGATGGGGACTCCATGATGAGGCGGCATACTGGCCTCACGTAGGCAATGTAAAGCGCCCTAAATGCCTCCTTACTTAGGTTTCTGAATGATGTTCTAACTTTTGCCAGTGTAGAGTACGCTGCTGTCGTTATCCTATTTATATGTGCCTCAGGAGATAGATTAGGTGTTATGTCCACTCCCAGGTCTCTCTCTCGCGTCGTCACAGGTAGGCTGTTCCCCTTCATTGTGTACTGTTGCGGGGAGGTTGATGTATTGTGGTGTCTGTGGTTGATGAGTGGTGGTGGTGGTGTGTCTGTGGTTGATGAGTGGTGGTGGTGGTGTGTCTGTGGTTGATGAATGGTGGTGGTGGTGTGTCTGTGGTTGATGAGTGGTGGTGTGTGTCTGTGGCTGATGAGTGGTGGTGGTGGTGGTGGTGTGTCTGTGGTTGATGAATGGTGGTGGTGGTGTACCTGTGGTTGATGAGTGGTGGTGTGTGTCTGTGGCTGATGAGTGGTGGTGTGTCTGCGGTTGATGAATGGTGGTGGTGGTGTGCCTGTGGTTGATGAGTGGTGGTGTGTGTCTGTGGCTGATGAGTGGTGGTGGTGGTGTGTCTGCGGTGGATGCTTGGTGGTGGTGGTGCGTTCCGCCTTTCGACTCTTAATCGACTAGTTAATGAACAAGTGATTATTTGGTTTTAAACATTAGTCTCGCTTACTCATTTGGTACTACCCTCAGTATCGTATCTATGAATTAAATGCTACACATTGTACATCTTTTAACGCGTTTCTGAAGCCTGCGGAATCACTAACGTTTTCAAGGTCATTAAGGCATAGGTACACAATGATCACGCTAAGAGTCCAGGAAGCCTGTTAGGCCTATCCCGCCTAGGTCAACTATTAATGAACGTTTCCCAGGTTGTAAATCACAACAGTTGCCTAACTCCAGAGGTACCTATTTCTGCTAGGTCAAGAGAGGCATCAGGTGACAGAAAACGTGCCCACCCGCTCGGGATTAAATACCAGGGGCCAGATTCACGAAAGTACTTACGCAAGCACTTACGAACCTGTACATCTTTTCTCAATCTTTGGCGGCTTTGTTTACAATTATTTAACAGTTAATGAGCTCCGAAGCACTAGGAGGCTGTTTATAACAATAACAGTTGATTGGGAAGTTTTCATCCTTGTAAACTGTTTAATAAATGTAACCAAAGCCGTCAAAGATTGAGGAAAGATGTATACGTTCGTAAGTGCTTGCGTAAGTGCTTTCGTGAATCTGGCCCCAGGTTGTCGGTCGAGAACGTAGAACATTGCAGTACAGGAACCAGTGATGGGTGCCATAAGCTATCAGGAAATTAATTTATGATTGGAGTGGTGGAACGCCGATTCTCGGTCCAAGTATTGTGCTGGTCATGCCGCTAGTGTGGTGCGTATACCGTAGGGAGGCGACTGTGGTGTGGGGCTCGCTGTTGGGGACCTGCTGGGTTGGCGGGGGAGGACGCGCCTGGGCTTGACAGATGGATCGTACCTAAACTACATCCTTCTCATGGAACTAATCCGAACTAGTCCCCAAAAGGATCTAAAATCTGAGCTGGAATATAATTAAGATGTTATAGTGACATTACGTACGTTTGTACATACTATACATAAAACACAAAATTGTATCTCTTATTTTGGTTAGGTTAAGATTGCTTTTTCTTTATTAAATAATATTAGGTTAAGATAGGATACAGGGTGATCTGAAAAAGCTACAAGCACTCTTAGAGTTCATTGTTGGTTGACCGGCGGTATTAAAGGAGTTGCGATGGAGTAGTGTGGTAATTTTTTTTTTTTTTTAGGTCTTAGACCTTACTTTTCTAGAACACTGATGCGCCCACTCAGGTCATGGCCGAAATATTCCAAGTTTAATTCCCGCTGCAGGATCTTTTTATTTTTATTTTAAGTGAAATGTATTATTTCATTGTATTAGTGTAAGTGAGTGGACAAGTAGGCTACACGAGTGTAAGTGGGTGGACAAGTAGGCTACAAGAGTATAAGTGGGTGGACAAGTAGGCTACACGAGTATAAGTGGGTGGACAAGTAGGCTACACGAGTATAAGTGGGTGGACAAGTAGGCTACACGAGTGTAAGTGGGTGGACAAGTAGGCTACACGAGTGTAAGTGGGTGGACAAGTAGGCTACACGAGTATAAGTGGGTGGACAAGTAGGCTACACGAGTATAAGTGGGTGGACAAGTAGGCTACACGAGTATAAGTGGGTGGACAAGTAGGCTACACGAGTATAAGTGGGTGGACAAGTAGGCTACACGAGTGTAAGTGGGTGGACAAGTAGGCCACACGAGTGTAAGTGGGTGGACAAGTAGGCTACACGAGTATAAGTGGGTGGACAAGTAGGCTACACGAGTGTAAGTGGGTGGACAAGTAGGCTACACGAGTATAAGTGGGTGGACAAGTAGGCTACACGAGTGTAAGTGGGTGGACAAGTAGGCCACACGAGTGTAAGTGGGTGGACAAGTAGGCTACACGAGTATAAGTGGGTGGACAAGTAGGCTACACGAGTATAAGTGGGTGGACAAGTAGGCTACACGAGTGTAAGTGGGTGGACAAGTAGGCTACACGAGTATAAGTGGGTGAACAAGTAGGCTACACAAGTATAAGTGTAGCTCGCGAGTGGAAGTGACTGGATATATTCATATAGGAACTACCTCGCAGATTTCCTTGTTCTAATGTTTTTGTTTTAATGCTGAGAAAGATATCATTTATTTTAGAATATATATGACTATGCTGAGAAAGATATGTTGTCAGTTATGTACAGAAAATTATGTTATTACGATACTTTGTTTTGCAAACCATAATAAACATAGAACAATTCAAATCAGAATGCAACAGAACAATTCAAATCAGCTGATGGGGGTAACACAAATTCTATCAAGCTGAATGTTATATGCTCGTATGTGTTTGTATAGCCTGTTACTTTTTTTTAAATAAATTTTTAACAATTTAGTGGGAAGAAGCGTGAAAAAAAATATACACAGAAATGTGAATTATTTTATTGTACCGCGGGTAATGCTAGTAGAGCTTCAGAAAAGTTTAATGAGTTCAGAGAGGTTCCGTACACTATCACATCATAATGTGACAGGCGGAGAAGATTGTTGCAATCTTCCTGCTCAAGTGTTATATGATACTGTCAAGTTTTATATTTCTGTTGAAGACACAAAGTGTATGTAGTCTGCTGCGTTTTCTGAGCCTCGGGGAACATGAGAGGGGATACTCTCACATTGTCCACATGCATTTCTCATACAACTCATTCTCTAATTGTTAAAACGTGTACATAGCGTTAGTTAGGTTATGTTAGATTGGGCTGGGCTGGGTTTAGTCGGGATTGGGTAAGTTATGTTTGATTATGTAATCAGCTCACAAACAATTTGACGAGAGTAAAGTAATTATAAAAAAAGGCAGTAAGCTTAACAAGTAATGGAAAACCAACACAATTTCGAAATTACCTGTATCCTGCGTTGAACTTAATATTTAGCTTTTATCTATTGTTGTCGTCTGGTCTGATCTATTTAAGTTTTCTGTGAAGTATTCTTAATTTGGCATAAAAATGCATTTTGGATATTTTCCTGAGTTAAGTAATTTCACGACTTGGTTTAGTGTTGTTGGGCTTAAGGCCTATCAAAATCTGGAGGGTCATTAAGGCCACCACAATAGGTTACTAACCAACCAGTTAGCATACTTTACTCCTGAACATAGTCTAGAAGTAAAATAGTTATCATCTCGGTGAACATACACCGAGAAGAAGGGTACACCTTTTGGTGTGTATAATCCTTGCGTCTACACTAACTTGTCATAACTCTTAATACACGACTGAGGACTCTTATTCCTAAATGTTGCAAGAAACAAGGGTTTTCCGCCAATAACATTTTACAGTAAATATTCGTATTTTGACAATGTAAAGAATGGCACATATTACTTGTTGCAGTGACGTTCCAAATCCACGCTACTTGCTGTAAATGAAGATGTAATTCCTGACAGGTCCCTGTATTATGCTATACCGAATATTAAATAATAACTTCAACACTGAAGGGAAGCAGCCTAGTCACCCATCAGTTTAAGGAATAATACGAACGTAAAAACTAAGAAATTTCAATCAAATTAAGGAAAAAAACAGCAAAGTTCATATTTGCATCTAGGTAAGCAGCCTGTTTAGGGTCCGGCCTCCGACGCGATGTCTTTCAACATGTTGAGTTTCCTGCCGACGACGCTGATGATAGCCACCCTCCTGCCCGTGCTGCGGCTCGGCCTCATCTCCCTCATGCAGGAGTCGCGGCGCGCAGACTTCAGGTTCAGCAGACCCGAAGCCTTCAATCACGACTATGACTTCATCATCGGTGAGTAAATGCCGCACCGGTATTTTTTTTACTGATTCCCAACTGTCTAGGAATACTTAAGTTATTTTTGTTTTGTCTAATATTTCTTAATTTTATTGGTTTAAAATTTTCAGTGTATAAAATGTGGCCTGACAACGCTCGGGATTAAATATGTATATATATTGCATCTGTTTAATTGCTCTTGTTACCGCATTTGCTCACGTGGCTCCGAAATACGGCAAAATCATCATTCAAGGTTACTGTAACACCAGCAGTTATGAACAAAAGCTCAATGGACGACATAAGGTTCACGGTTCACCCTTGCGTTTAACCCTCTCTTTTATGTATCTGGTTTGACCCCCAACTTGTCATCAGAGCCTGCTGAGTATTTTTTTAGCATCTGGGTTTGACCCCCTGATCCTTGTATGTAATTTCGGTTTGACTCTCTCTTTTAATTACATTATTGATTTTTAATATAAAATGGCAATAATAATTGTTATAATTATGTATTAAACAACGCAAAATGGCATTGCTGATTGTGATATATGCCGAATGACTACAAACACATTGCAAACAAAAGTAATAGGCCTGGTTACACGCCAACATTGTTACATGAACTACTATACGCTTATGTTTAAATAAAATATATATTTATAAACTGCGTACTGATACATAACAAAAACAAAGAGACAAATAAAATGAAGTCATTTAAGACATGACTGATAGTGAATGTTGTGATTTTTCATGTTTGATTTTCTGGTGTCAGTTGGAGCTGGGACGGCTGGGAGCGTGCTGGCCGCTAGGCTGTCGGAGGTGAAGGGCTGGAGGGTGCTGCTCCTGGAGGCTGGAGGCACCCCGCCCCCGGAGACCTACGTCCCGGGTCTTGTGGGTTTCAACTACCTCAGAGGTAACATTAACTGGAACTACGTCACCGTCCCACAGAAACACGGGCTCAAGAACTTCGTGGATCGAGTAGGTATTTTAATTTCCGATTGACTAATTCACTGGAAGTTGTTCTTAATATTGTCTAACCTGACATGTGTGTGTTAAGCTTTCAGTATAAATAGTTAAAAAAAAATTAATAGTTAATTTAATTATACAGAGTTTTCAATAACATGTTCCTAAGAACAATCTTAAAACTTTCCAAAATATGACCCATATTGATTGCATTTTTTAAATTATAAATTTGGAGTCAAACAACATACAAAATACATAAACACTTCTGCACCCAACAAATATGTATTTTCCACTTGCACGTAAACCTTTTAGTCAAAACAACTAATTAGCTCACGAGTGTATACCGTATGCTTTAAGCATATCAGACTCGCAGTCAATATTCCTTTACAGTTTTGAGTATTTGATCTAATAAAAATAATTCTAGACTATTATGCAAATTAATAGTTATTCTGATTTTTTTTCTAGCGAGAGTAGAGTATATAATGTTGCAAGGACTAAAAGACTAGATACAAGTTCAAGTATGTTTATTGAGACAAGAAAAAATACATCTCAAAGGGATAGAGTAGCTTAGGCTATTTCTACCCCCTTTTTAAAGCCTAGATACGCACGACATACCACAACCGGTGTTTGTACAATTGCTTTTGAGAGTACGCGATTTTCCTCAAGAAGAGTTTTACAGAATTCAACACCTTTTGTTGTGTTATAGTTGTATTTGCGATTGGGTGTTAATTATTATTTAGCATTTGCTAAATGAATAATTGAGAAACTGCATTTTACAGTATAAAACATTAAATAAGTGAGGTAAGGTAATACCTCACTTGGTATAAAGCACTTGGAAGAAATGTGAGGACAAGAGCTGGGATATGAGAACGGGGTTTAAGGACTAGTGCCCAACCACTTTGATCATCAGAGATCGAACGCCGAACTGCAAGAGCTAGGTCGTCGCTCGATCATTGATCATTGATGGAGGTTGGGGTTGAGGTATGGTGTGGGTGGCCTCGGGTTGGGGTGTGGATTGAGGTTGGGGTTGAGGTATGGTGTGGGTGACCTCAGGCTGGGGTGTGGATTGAGGTTGGGGTGGGTATGGGGTGGCCTGGGGCTGGAATGGGTATGGGTATGGGGTGGCCTGGGGTTGGAATGGGTATGGGTATGGGGTGGCCTGGGGTTGGAATGGGTATGGGTATGGGGTGGCCTGGGGTTGGAATGGGTATGGGGTGGCCTGGGGTTGGGGGAAGGGTTGGTATGGGAACTGAGGATGGGGTTGGTATGGGAATTGAGGATGGGGTTGGTATGGGAATTGAGGATGGGGTTGGGGTTGTTGTAGTGACGGATGAGGTGTACCTAGGTGGTCCCCAGTGGTGTCGGAAGAGGTGCTGTCCTCTACACTTCCACTTCCACTCCCACTGGTCCCCACTGACTGGTCATTATCTGGGTTAAACATTTTCTGTGATTCCTGGTGTGCCACGTCTCTTCTAAACTACCCTTTAGTACACCCTCGACCCGGACTCACTACAACCGTGATCTTACACAAATAAAAAAAAATCACAACTCTATTCTAAGAGAAAACTACTAACTTCCCAAAATAGGAAATACAACGATTTATCGAGAGAATCGCTGAAGTGAATCCAATGAATGAGTGTCTGCCCCGCACTCGTGTCTGACCGTGAAATATTCCGCAGTTCTATTGCTGAAACCTAAGTCCTTTACGTTAAAAAAAAATTAAAGAATCTAATTTATATAAAACAATTTAAATGATAACGCAACTAACGCGCAGCACTCGTGATGGAGTAAGAAAGAATATTTACTGTATTTGAATACTAAGCGCACTTGAAGTGAGCAGCGTGGCCCCTGATGACTGATGGAGCGGGACCAGCCGCGCTGAAAAAAAACTAAGTCCCGCGCTTTTTCGCTTAAACGCTGAAAAATCAAAATTGTTGTTCTGAAGGAAAATAACTAGTTTTACGTTAATAAACCGCTCTAGCGATTAATATAGACACCCAGGACCTATAAATGCTTACTAAAAATTGAATTTTTATCAAAAAAACTACGTTTTTACTCAATTGCTGGACTCTGCCAATTTTTCTGACTCCGAGGGAAAAAAAATTTTCATCACCCCAAATATCACAAAACTCCTTTAATTCACAAAAAATTGGGTTTCTCGTTCCCAGATATAAATACGTTATTATTTACTACTGACGTTGTATACAGAACAATACTGACACTTCGGGCGGTTTCAACACTCACTAATTCGAATTTTCGTCAAAATCCGAGATTTTCACCTCAAATGGACTCTGACAAAATTACGACACGATTTTCTCGAAAAATAACTAAATTCGGCAAAAATGTAATTATCACTGTTTAATGCTTTACGAACAGAATTACGTCCCTTGCGCGCACTAGAGAGTAATACTGGCCCCAGAATATACACAAAACATGAAAATTAGAATTTCCGCCAAAAAGTCAGATTCTAGCCCAAGCTGGACTTAGAAAATTTTCCACCTACGTTTCTACTGAAAACAGAATTCTAAGTCTACAAACACAATTTTACCGTCTTACTGGTAAAAACTAGAAAATATCACACGCATCGACTGGGGAATCCTAATGATACCCAGATCATACACGTGACCCACGAATACAAATTAATTACAGTTAACGACTTTCCGACATCGACTTAGCCGAAAACTTATCCCAAAATACTTAGAAATATTCCATGGACAAATAACATTTACACGCAACTTACTATCCCTTAAACTCCTTCACTTATCTATCGTGACCGACATATAGCCCTAAGTCCAGAGGATTAACAACTCCTCTGACTTAGACTAATAGAACAGGGAATAACAAAACTTAACGTACGCACTTAGCCTAATATGCAAGAAAACGCTAAACACTTGGGAAAAATTTTAACCGGGGATTGAATTTAGGGGAAAAAATTAATCTAGAACAACGCAAATAAACTGAAATTACTTTATAAATTTAAGTATACTTAATTCAAAAATGCACTCGACTTAATCTTATAATTGTTCCTACCGGCTCGCCGTACCACACCTAGCCTAGAGGCCACACCATCTAGGTTCCAACAGAGCGACACGCAGCTTTCAGCAACAATTATGACTAGGGACGACTCAACCTCCACTAAGTGTGCGATCACTTAGTTGTTGAATCGCTGCTAGGTAGGTTACTAGTCCGTCCCTCGGAGGCCGCAACGCCCTTCACGGATTACGTTTTTCCTAGCGTTTTGGGTCGTCTAATAACGCCCTCGGACTATCTACTGGCGTCCCACAGATATATCCGCCCCCGACAGCCCTCAAGGAACTGCTGTTGAGAGTATGGTGGCTCCCAACACCTCTGAATTAATTGCAATGGGTCGAGTATGGTACCCAGTCCAATCAACTCGGAGCGGTCTCCTTTTCAATAAATCTATTTTAACAGCCTAATCTTACTAACTAAACCTTAATCATATCAGCCCGCATGACCCAAGATTCGCCAATCCCCACTCAAACGCACTTGTGGGGCGCACTGCTAATCCTGGCCCGCGGCTGTCTCCTTAGCATCCGCGCACGTGTTCGAACGGCTAGACGCGTGAGCCTTTCAACAATTTCAAACAAAATTGTTGAAACCACCGCTGTGCACCATTGTAACACGGGTTTGGTACCTCTCACTGTACTTCTCTACCCGTATTCTTACTTTTTATTCTCTACCAAGGGACTCCAAAACTTTTACCAAAGCCAACTCCACGCCACGTGGTCCTAAGACGATTGACCGACTTAGGATTCTACACCCAGTATGACGTGATCTAAGCTCTGAGCAAAACCCTAGAGTCGCCTCTATGCTGCCACCACCAGACCAGCTCTACAGAGCAATGATCGAGGTCTGGATCGATCACGCTAATTACTCAACCTTGGGGCTTGATCCCCACTATATACGATGACCTTGAGTGTGGAATAAATTACACGGTAATGATAATTCCGATTCGATGTTAGAATCGGCGCCCAATACAACTCTGCCTCGTGTGGACCACGTGACCAGGACAAGTTTACACAAAAAACACATGGAAATAATGAAATGCAAAAATATTAACAAATTTAATTTATTAAAAGAAAAACTAAAACAAAATCTAAAAATGTTCACTCCCTATCACTTTAACACTCCCTACTTGACCTGAGTGGCAAATGAGACTATTTCTATACATAACCATAGCAACTATACCTTGGGCGACCCGCTCTAGATGTTGGCTGGTCTTGGGGAGAGGTAAGATGTTTGACCTCTCCCAGCTGCTCCCGTATTCACACTGATCTCTTCCTTGTCTGGTCTACCCCAGACAAGAGTATTGTATCCTTCCGCCTAGTCAAAGTTCTACCCAGTTCCTAGCAAGGTTTAAGTTATAACAATTAACCTCTGTTTATACTGAATTGATCCAGACTGGTTGAATTATTTTACTTTAATTAGATTACACAAACATCTAACGGCAAAGCTGTTCCCGATCACAAAAATGGTTATTAAAACTTTGAGAAATATTAGACATGTCAACCCTGCTGACCTATGACCGCCGGTCACTCCGCCTTAAAAGTTAGATCTGATTCGTGACGTCACTGATGGTGACTTAAACTCAATAATTAGAATACTCTTGATATTGTATCCAGTACTATTATACAATACAATTTTAATAAAAATGAATAAAGGCTAATTTTCTCTAAATTACTGAATACTATAGGATGATTCATTATACGCAGATATGAACAAAGCGTCGGTTATTTCCACCGCGAATTCCCCTGGGGGTCAGGTCACCATGCGGCTCAGCTTCCCATTCTCTTTTGTCGATAAACCACTCTGGATAATTCTTACAACAGCCTAGTTTGTTACACGACTAGTCAAAGTGGGAAGATTAAATGAGTGACTATCAACGTCTGTACTAGAGCCAAGATCAGTACCACCAAATTGTAAGCAATTTGTATCTACAAGCTATAATTATAATTAGTTTTATCGGGGACAGGCAGCCTATACATATACAATAT